ACCATTTAATTAGTGCATGTCGCGCGACCCGCCAGCTTGTCCAGAGGGCGCAGCCTTAATCGGACGCCACAAGCCGTCTCCTTTGCTTCACAATACAGTACTGTCGTTCTTGTCCTAGAATGCGTCGCGCCGAGTAGTCGCCATCCGAGTCGGGTTCAAAAGGATTGAGGTTTAAAGCCTTGGAAAGGTGCCCGGATAGTACAGTGATCGGGCACTAGGTGAGCTAGTTCAGCCGATAAGCCACCCTGAACATTAAAACACCCTAACTATTCTAACCTTGCACGCGCTACAACTCTATAAATATAGACCTAATTTAGAAAGTAATTAAAGATATTAAATTACGTAAAGATAGCGCATCTTTTAGCTATTATAAAGTTGCGAAATAGTAGGGTTATAACTAAATAATGTTATTGTAGTAGTATTAGATAAAAACACGCCTAAATATAAACGCTACGCTTACTTAACGCTTTTTTAGCTTATAATAAGAGCAGAAACTTATTATATATATTAAAAGATATATAAGAAGAGAGTTGCTACTAACGCAGAAGATAGTATAAAATTTTACTAGTTTAATTAGAAAATGCGCAGTTTCTTAGAGCTAGATTACGTAGTTCTTTTACTATTATAAGAATATAATTATACTTAAATAGAGCGCCTAAATTAACTAATAATAATACCTAGCAGACTCTTTATTTAAGTATAAGCTATACTTTAAGATACTATATTTAAGAATAAAATACTATAAGATTTAGCTAGAAAATACCTATAATATAGATAAGAAGAGCTTCTTTATTAGCGTTATAAAACTATTAAAAAGAGTCTTTACTAAGGTACTTTAGGTATTAAAAGAAGCCTAAATAACTATCTAGAATAGTAATAGAGAATAGATTATACTATTAGCTTATATATACGCTTCTAAGAAGGCACTATTGCTAGCTCTAATATACTAGAGCGTTTCTAAAATTTAATTAGGCTAGGTAGACGCTATAGAGGCCTAGAAACACTAGATTTTCTTCTTAAATTTAGCCTTAGGCTAGAGTAGTAATAAGATTAGATTATTCTAGCTTTAGAATATATTTAACTATAAAATAAGTAAGAGAGCAGCTTAAGATTACTATTTTCTTATTCTTAATAGCTATAGTAGCTACGTAACGCGCGAATTTATAGAGTATTATAACGCCTACTAAATTCTACTATTAGTGTTTTCTCTATACGTAACCTATAGTCTCTAGCTGCTTAATATTATTATTTTTACGCCTTTAGCAAGGCACTACTCTTTAGAACTTAATTACTATCTCTAGTAATTACTAAAGCTAATAAGAGTAATAAAATAGAACTTCTTTATTATCTTTTAGGCTACCTAAAGCACTATAATAAAGTAGAATCTTATTGTATAGAGCTTTAAAGCTACTAGAGTATAGCTAATAGATATAGAGGTTATACTAAAGCGCTTTAACTCTACTACTTTATAATAAGATAGAAGTCTAAAAATTAAAGATAATAGTAATAGTAATAGCTAGAATAAGCTCTAAAAAATTTAGGCTATTACTATAGTAGAAAGAATAAGTTTTAAAGCTAAATATCTTAGAGTTATACTTTATAGACTATAGACCTAAAATAAGCTACTTTACGCTAAAAATAAGGCTCTTATAACTACGCTTTTAGCTAAAAAAGAGCGTATAAAGTAGAGTAAGACTCTTAGGCTTTACTAGAATACTTAGAATTAAAGTAGCGCTTAATTCTAGAGTCTCTAGAGTCTATAAGCTATCTAAAAGCGTAAAGCTATAAAATAAAATAAAGCTAAGTAGCTATAACTCTAGAAAAGTTATAATAGAGAGATTAAAGTAGTAGTAGTAGTATATAAAAAATCTATAGCTAAGAAAGTAAAGGCGTAGTAATAGTATAAGCGTAAAGACGCTAAGATAGTAAAGAAAGTAAGAGCTAAGAAAGCCACCTGCGTAAAGAAGCTTAAATTCTAATAACAAGCTATTATAATACTAAAAAAAGTTTAGAATAGGTTAAGTATAGCCTTATAAATAACCTTATAAAGCGCTGTTAAAAAAAAAGCACTATATTATTATATTATTAGGCGTAGAAATAGTATTGCGCCTGCACTAGCGCTCTCTCTAGCACTACCTAAAATAATAATACGCAGCTAGTAAATTAAGATACTAGCAAAATTTAATTAGATAGAAAGTTTTGTATATATCTATAGATTAATACACTAAAAAATCTTATACTAATTACTTTTATAGGTAGCTGCGCAGCCTTATTTCTAAATTTAAATAAATTTAGTAGGGTGGCTTATTAGCCGAACTAGCTTACCTAGTGCCCGATTACTGTAGTGGGGTAGGCAGACAAAGCCGGCGTTCAGGGGTGTTGCATGTGACGTCGCACGCAAAGTCACCATTGTCGTCAGCAAAACAATGTCGCTGAAATTTATAGGCTACACGCTCACAGCGCAACTAACAATGACGCCGCCTGAAAACCGATGTTAAAGACTTAGCTTGCCACACGGCTGCTTTGGATCCAAATCTCGTTCGTTCTTGCGCACCCCTGTTCCGATGCATACGACGCGTTCCGATTCCGACGCGTCCTCTTCGCGTAATGCAGAAGCTCTTGACGGTATGCGTCCTTCAACCAGCGCGGCGCACCATACCGACACCATCAGGAACAACACAATTTTGACAGTGTGCTCACCGGGGACATCAAGTGTTCCAAATATCGGAGCTGCTCGACGTCATCTCTTGTTTTGCGGGACCCAAAGTACAAGTCTTTGCATGGAACGTGTCGCGAACCTGGCGGCGTTCTTCCAAGCCCGTCATCAGCAGCAGCAACAGGCAATCGTACTAGCAGACCTACCTACCAAAAGATCTAGTAAAGTATAGCCTCCTCGTCTCTACCACTAATAAAGCAAGGTGCGATCTAAGTAGGAACGAGCTCGATAAGTTCAACTAAACGGCTACTCGTCTGACAGAGCGGGTTAAAATTGGGCATACTAGATTCATTGCAACTACTCTACCTGTCTGGTTAAGAGGGATGCTGTTATACCTCCTTGCTCGATACACATAGTGCGCAAAGCTTGCGGCCGCTTGTGCATTACAGTTTAAAGATATGCAGGCATCTTCTAACCAACTCTGCCTGCGGTACTCACCTAGAGTACCCTTTTCGGTCACGAATTCTCGACTGCTCAGATGATTTCATTGTAAGGGCACGATGCGGTTTACCGTAGCCATCGACGTCATCACACCTAGCATGCACGCTGTCAGGAAACCATGTCAACACCATGTTTGAAATCAATCTCGTTCCTAGACTCCTGACGGTATATTCCACGGGCTCAAGTTCAAAATCCCAACAACCGTCGAGAAGCAACGCAACATCGCCACCGCATTCATGGCTACTCTCGGGGATATGAGGAAGCAGTTGTCCGATATTGTAGCCAATGTCAAAACGAAAGGCTATCAGATAGAGGACGCCATCCCGGACGTCTTGCGCGATCACTTCAAGGAGTTAAGCGAACTCAAAGCAGCGCGAGAGTACATTCGGGAGATTCAAGATCGTGAGCAAGACCTGCAAACTCATAACAATGTATTGCGGGCGAAAATCAAGGAAAAGGAAGCAGAGATTGACGACCAACCAGCAGAGTTCAAGGCGCTCAGAGTCGATCTCCAACAGGCGCACCGGCAGATCGAGTACTACCGTGAGCTTGCTGAAGATTCGCAACGGCGTGCACAACGTTACGAGCGCGAGCTTGCTCTCGCTGTCACGGACCAAGCTGCCTCCGACGAAATTATCGCCAGAGCTGACCGTTTGCAAAAAGAGCTAGAACAACTTCAGTGCACCAATGTGCAACTACAGGCCGAGAACGAACGGGCAGCTGAAACTTTCACCAACCTTCGCGCACACGACGCAGCGATCATAGCAGCCAACGAAGCTAAATTTGCAAAGATTCTGTCTCATACGTCTGAAGTCGAGAATGAAAGCGAGCAATTTAGCGAAACGTTTACTACGCTCATTCATGACTTAGAGTCTGAGGTTTTATCTGCTTCCGCCTCCCTTAACGACAAGGCTGCTCTGGTACAGAAAACAGAGACGCTGTATAACGCCATCGTTAGTGAGGCAGCACCTTTAGATCGGTTCTTCTCTCGCGCATTCAGGATATTGAACATCTACCAAATTCTTTTCCGGTCGCTTTCCGATCCAGCCCACTCCAGCACTTCAAGTTTGCCCCTTGAGCTAGATCCGCTCATGGAAGGAGCCAGCCAGGACTTGTATGTCTACGAGCAGGTGCATCGGACGATGTGCGAGGACCCTGGGCTTGCTGGGGAGCGAGCTCGTACACATCTCAATGGTATTTCGAAAAGCGCGAACGAGATGATGCAAAGCTTCAATTCCATCAAAGCTGACGTAGCAATGTTTTTGACTCGTCTGAAGAAAGAGCCATGCAGTTGGGTGGCTATGAGGGCGAAATTTGGTGGGTCTAGTAAGAAGAAGGGGATAGGAAAGCGGTTTTCCACGGGCTAAGGCTCTAAAGACGCTCGTTCGAAGTCATCTAGTGGACTTTTTGCGATTTCGTAGTTATTTCATGTATTACACTCTATTTACCATCGTGCGCACAACTACAACCAGGACCAGTATCACTTTTTGCCCTTTCCAAGACCATTAAACCGGCCTTGGCTTTCTCTCATCCCCAAAACTATGACGGCAAGCATTGTGCACCTACAGCATATGAAATTATTCTTTTGGAAGATGCAAGCTCAACACCTTGCGAACATCGCAAGAGCATGCCCTAACTAGAATCATCTAGATGGGACGCGCTATGTGTATCGAGGTTGTAACTAGTATCCCGTCCCGCTGAGTAGTAGCTAGGTACGTCGACAATGCAGCACCCGAAACTCACGCGTGTGAATACATACCGTCTAGTGAATGTCTACACCAGGCAGGTACATTTAGCGTTGTAGATCTCTTCTATCTTGAGATCACCCCAGCTTTACTCAACTATGGTTCTTGATGCTGTTGCTACTTCCGAAAGCGCTTTGTTGCGTGCTCTGGAGATGTTGAAGGCCACTGCAGGTCCTGGAACAGTTCATCATCCGTCCGACTCAATTGTCACAGGCGAGACAGATGACAGCGTAGATGAGTATCAGCCGGGTCAAAAAGAGTCGGAACAGGATCACGCGGACGAAACAACATTAGTTACACTGAAGAATGCTCACCGGGTCACTCAGCGCGCTATGCTTACCATGGAAAGAGAGGGGAAGCAACGCCATGCAGACGAGCAGGTCGGGTTCATCATCATAAAACGCGACAACAACAAGCCAGATGCCTATGGCGAGTCGTCTGAAACATACGGCCCACTGCCGTGGCCGGGGGTCGCCGAAGCATACAACAAAAAGTACGATATGTCTGTCGGTCCAGCGGCGATGGAGAAGCGCGCGCGACAACACCGACCTGCTTGGTTAGCCAAACATCCAGGTTATCCCCTCAAAATAATGTACGCAAAGAAACCAAAGACACAAGCCATTCGGCGCTCGAAGGTTGCCGCCCTACACGCCCAAGCTCCTTGCGTGCAAGCCTACACCAGCAACCAAAAGGTTCGTGGTCCTACTGAGGTCTCTCATGCTGACAGACCGCAGATGCGTGTGGACAAGCGCGAAGGTTCCGTCTCCAATGAACGCATCGCCGGATGGATGCCTCCAGATGCCATTCGAAATCGAGCAGACGTACATAACTATATAGACGACCTAATGTCAGCACACGTCGAAAGGGTTGTACTAGAGGTACATGACGCACATGACTCACCATCTGAAGTTGTTATCGGCGACCTCGAATACCTTGGTAGCAGCTCCGTGGTGCTTCAGCAATTAATGGCTGCCGACAGCGAGACGACAGTACAGGTTGATTGCTCATCCCTAGAGGTCGTTCAGTGGTACGTACAATGCAGCTCAGCCGGATGTTTGACGAAAGCGCCGGTAGATCTCCATCACGGAAACGGCTCACTCATGGACCTGTACTGCTTGGCTGCACAGCTTCAAGACGACGACGTGTGCGGGCTGATATTGACACTGTGGCGTAGTCTTGCGGAAAAGAACGTCGAGATGGATTTAAGTGTCGAGAGCATGAACTTGCTCTTCGAAACCACTCGCTACGAGGATCCAGCCCGCGGATTTTGGGTTGATATCGCCCATAGAGCGAAAATAGCTCCTGAACTTATCAAGATGGGCGGCTGCAATGCGGAACTGATTGCTGCAATTCAGAGCAAAGGACCATGAGTATTCACCTGAGTTTGGCGGGACTTTCTGGGCCGGGGAGTCGCCACAACGACGATAGCTGTCTAAGCCTGGTGGTTTGAGATTAGATATAGGACGAGGCGGCTTAAGACGATTCGACCTGTCCACGGGTTGAGACATGATCTTGGAATAGTCGATGTAGTTCGATGCAATTCAAAGACGTATACATCAACTGTTAGTCTTAATCGCTTTGTTGTATCCAGATAGCCCCATAACGCTTGATCCCAGTCCTCGGTGGTGCCGGATCTAATGCATCGTCTCGTTTATAAGCGCGCTAAACATGTCCATTTTGACGCAGTGTTTTTGGGCTTGACTCAGAAATCCGCCCGGTGACCTGAACAAGATGTCTTCGGAGCAAAGTCCAAAGATTTCGTAAGGATCTAAAGACAAACGTCAAGCGCTGTGATTAGTATTAGCAATCGACGAGGAGAGAAACGGCCCGCATTACCGATCACCACAATCTGATAATTAGACCTCCCCTTTTTGTACCTAGGTTGGATCAGTACTCACCCACCGCACGCCGCACGCCGCACGCCACACGCCGCAACCTAACCCAGCAGTTGAGTGTCAGCTCAAGGCGGACTGCAACTCAAGCTAGAATAGCCAAGCCTTCGTAACGTAATCTTCTTCTTTTGCTGGCATGCTAACCAAAGTAGTCCCGGAGTTCATAATATTAGCCTCTCCACACACAGAGCGTATGCCTCTTAACGTAGTAGAGCTTTCGTGAAACCGTTGGTTTAAGGTGTTGTTGACCTGACCGAAGCTGGCACGGAGACAGGCTCTCCGTAGCGCCTGTCCGCGTTGGTCGTAACCTCGGGAACGCCACAGTAGCGCCGTCGCTTACGGCTGGGCAACCGAGTGATGGGGGCTCCTCCGTTGCACCACGACATCCTCACCCCATCACTCGTCCATAACGCGCCAATGTGCATACACCTAGCTCTCATCTAATCGAATTTTGCTTGAGACCCCGGCATGCAACGAGGCGCTTCCAGCCGACTGTCATGCAGAAACAAGCGTCAGCAACCGCCCTAGGCCATGTGCTGTGCCATGCGCTTGCGCTCGCGCCAATCCTCGACATCGGAGCTCATTCGCGGATAAAACCGCTACTATCAAGACAAGCCTTTCTATCACCTGGGGTCACCTCCTGCGTCAGTCTTCAATGCCTCGTCCAGCATGATCCTGCTGATAGCTTTGTGCTGAGCTCGCCCAGCGCCGCCGTTGGCACGGGCGATCTACATTCCAACTAGTGTTGGCCATTGTCTGCTGATTTTGAAGGATTGCCCTTCTATTTTCTAGACCAAAAGCATACGTGGGGATAGGCGATCTGTCCCCAATACTATTGCGAGTTGGAGCAGCCCTGTCGAGACCGGCGAAATGGGATACCTTGATATGACAAGGATATGTCCCGGGTTTGTGAACACCAGGAGATTCCCCGCGTTCTATTGTTTCGCTATCAGGGACCTTGTCGGCGTACTGGGATCGTCTTGGCCTAGTGGCAGCTGTCGTGCAGCAGCCAGCACGATTGCCCACGGTCCACGATTCCGATAGTTGTGCCTCTCGATACTACACTTCTCCCAAGTATGTGGCGTATGCGCTTGAACGGGACGGTTGAGGCTTGTTCGAGATGCTGGAGCCGCTTCCCGATTAGGATGCGGGCCAGAGCCTTCCGTGTCCATTTAGCTCGGGAACATATTTCCAGAACTGCGAGTCCGACAGCACGCCGCTGGGATGCAGCATTAGCCGGACATTGCGGGCCATAGCCCGGCAGTCTGGTCTTTGAGGTCCTTCCCTTGTGCATATCCGATTTTGTTTAATAGTCCACCCGTTTCCCAGACGTATTCCACACAGCTCATCTGGAGTGTCTCCACCAAAGCAATGTCGGACATCAAAGAGTCTTATGCTACGACGACCTCAGAGAATGGCGTAAGTATCATGTTAAAACTACGAGCCGTTGACTGTACTTACACCTACCAGGACCACAAAGGTGCTGTGGCTGACATCGCCATCATCTCTGGCTCTGAAGCCATAGCAGAAGCCAAGCTGAAGGAGCCTGTTCAACGTTTCTCCAGCTCTGCTATGCTGCTTTACGTCTGTGCATTTGTGGGATTCTTTTGCTCGACATGCAACGGGTTCGACGGATCCATGTTCAACTCGCTCCTCACCAACAACACCTTCAAGGAGTACTACAACGTCGAGAGTACTGGAGCCTGGGCTGGTATCGTTACGTCTATGTACCAGATCGGTGGTGTTGTTGCCCTTCCCTTTATCGGCCCCGCCTGCGACACTTGGGGTCGTCGCATTGGTATGATGATTGGCGGAGTTCTTGGCTGCACTGGTGTCATCATCCAGTCAACTGCTCCTGCGTCCAACCCTGTCGGGCAATGTAAGCAACGCCCATATACGACGTCTCGATGAGATTTATGCTGATTCCGCGTTCCTCCTTAGTCATGGGAGGTCGTTTCCTCCTCGGCTTCGCAGTCCCAATCATGACAACCGCTGGTCCGCTTCATGTCATCGAGACTGCGCATCCCGCTCACCGTGGTATCATCACTGGTCTTTACAATACTTTCTGGTTCGTCGGATCACTTCTCGCTGCCGGTGTCACACGTGGGTCTGCCAATCTCGCGGGTAATCAATCTTGGAGGATTCCCGTCTGGCTTCAGATGCTCTTCCCAGCCTTACTCGTTATACTACCTCTTCTTCTTCCAGAGAGCCCTCGCTGGTTGTACACTCGCGGTAAACACACCCAGGCCAAGAAGACTCTCGCCAAGTACCATGGTTGCGGCAACGAGGACAGCATCTGGGTTTCCATGCAGATTCGCGAATACGAGGAATACCTCAACATGGACGGAGGAGACAAGCGCTGGTGGGACTACGGCTCTCTCTTCAAGACTCGTCCTGCGCGCTACCGCCTCGCTTGCAATTGCATAGTCGCGATCTTCGGTCAATGGGCAGGCAATGGGTAAGTCTGCTGGACTAGTACAAGAAACGAAGTCACTAATCGTGTGTCAAACAGTGCTGTCGACTACTTCATCTCTGGTGTTCTCGAATCTGCAGGCGTCACGGACGAGATCAAGAAGATGAACATCAACTTGGGAAAGAGCTGCATGCAGCTTGCATTCGTAAGTCTATTCACAGAAAAGCTACATGTACGATTACTGATTGCTGGCGCCTAGGCTGTCGTGGGAGCTCTCTGCGTCGACAGACTGGGTCGACGACCCATGCTGATCGGTACTTTTTCGACCGTGACAGTAATTTGGGCCGGGGCCATCGGCGCTGTTTCTTACCAGAACAAGACCGGAAGCATTCCTGCCGGTAATGCCTTCGTAGCATTGGTCTTCCTCTTCAACGCCGTCTTTGCCTTCGGTATTACTCCGCTCCAGGCCCTCTATCCCGTTGAGGTGCTCTCATTCGAGATGCGCGCCAAGGGTATGGCCTTTTCCAACTTGGCGCTTACCACAGCCATGTTGATCAACCAATTCGCCTATCCTATTGCTCTGGAGAAGATTGGCTGGAAGCTGTACATCGTCTTCGCCTGCTGGTGCCCGGTCCAGGCGTTCGTCGTCTGGCTCTTCATTCCGGAGACCAAGAACCGCACGCTCGAGGAAATCGATGACATCTTCAACGCGCCGAACCCGAGGAACGCGTCGCTTGTCAAGAAGAGGGTCGCCACCGACGCGCAAGGCAACGTTCTTGAGGTCGAGAAGCTGTAAGCCTCTCATCAGCAATTGGTGTACATGTCGCACTCTCCTGTATACATGCACATGTTGTTACTGCTTTAGTAGTCAAATTTGGAATATCTATAGATTAGATTGATGTATCTACCGCTCTCTGCGAAAATGCTCATCTTCAGAAGCTTTGGAAATAAGCACAACAATCTATAGCCGAACGCATGAAAATGAACAGTTGAAATACATTCATTTAAAAGACTTTCACTGCCCCTTCGCGGACGGCTCGTGACTGCACATCGACCGCGCGATCCTATTCGCTTCATTCATGGCAGCCTTCTTCTCGTCTTCACCAGCTTCTCGCGCCCTCTGCAGCGCCATCTTCGCCTCGTACAGACGACTTTCCATGTCCAACACCATCTTCTCTGTATCTAGCATCGATTGTGTCGAGTTGTCATGCTTCAGCTTACTGGCATTGCTGGTGCTGGAGTACATGATGCTAGTCAGACTGCTTGTTGAGTCAAGTCCTTCGGAGAGACGGATCAGTGCTTTGGGAGATGACGAAGCGTATAGGGCATCGATGTTATGGGTAGCCGAATGGACGCGGTGGGCGGTGTAGCAAGTTTCCGAGCCTGCTGCATGATGGTGATATCGCCTGCAAAACTCGTCTCGCGCAGTCGTTGCGTCAAGATAGTTGTCTTCTGGGTGAGACAATATTCGCTGCACGTCTTTTGACAAGGCCGGAAACCATTCAGCCTTTTTTACCTCCTCGCCTAACGAGTAGAGCAAGTCTGCGAGAAATCTCCATACTGGCGTACTTGCTGACATCTCGGCTAACAGTACCATGAAGTCCCTCTCGAAGTCTTTGGCTGTCACGCGAGCCAGCGTGTTGTCCACGGGTGGCAGTTTACTTCCAACGAACACCTGCCGACCACCAATATTGACGTAACCATCGACAGGCTTACCCATGTCTGCAAAGATGTCTTCATATCTAGCTTCTTCAGCAAATAGGAAGTGCAGTCGATCAACCAACATATCGACAACCCAGTACACTTCCATCCACTGCGCGAAGAGCAGAAGATCAAGAAGGGCGTCTATACTCCAGATGATCTTCTCCACACGTATCGCCCCATAGCGATCGTACACGCCTGAAACAGGTTTCTTCACTGACCAGAGTTGGTGTGTGGGCAGCTCATTCGCGCGCTCCGGCGAGATGAGCTGGATGAAGATGTTCACTGTTCGTGTAGTGATATAATCTGGGACGGTGATGATGGTATTCCTGGGATCTTCTGCTGCTGTTCGTGCGTAAAATGGTGAAATGGAAAGCAGCGTGTTTGTGTCGACGTATTGTGCATCTTCGTTGGCTATGCTTTGTTCGTGTGGGCCGGAGAAGCGAAACGTGACTCTTTCGTCTGTGCGCTGCTGGAGGTGGAATTTCGCGCGGGTATTAGGCAGGACGTAACTTTCTTCCACGGTAGAGGGGTTGAAGAAACCTGGAGGGAGAGTGGTAATTTTGGAAGTTGATGAATGTTTCCTAAGGGCCGGCGGGCTCGATGATATAGGCGTCGGGAGTTTGTGGGCTGGCAGTGTCGCGACTTCGGTTTCCAGATGTTGAGTGGCAGATCTTCCTTGCGGTTCCGCGGTCTTGCCGCTTGGCATGGCATGCGCATTCTCCTCCTCTGTATCGCTTTCATCGTCATCTCCTTCAGAGTTGACCGTGTCTGAGCCTTGAGATTTTTCCTCTGCCCCAGTTTCTACTTGTGGAACTGGGTAAACGCAGACCCCGACATATTCCGGGTTGTTTTTCAAAAACAACTTCCTCGCGGCTCCACATCGCTTACTCAACGTGTTATAGGCCAGTGGCTTCTTCAACTCGTGGTCGAATCGTGCGTTAAACTCTTCGGCCAGGACATGCCAGTCTTTTGGCCCAGTCGCGCCGGGAACCAGATTGTCGCGACAGTGCAGGATGAAGAGATCTTGTTCGGATATCGGTTGAGCACGCGTGAGCCAGGGCCGTGTTTGTAGGAGAGAAGGAGCACTCGTGGTTTTAGCATCCCTATTACTGGCGACGTTGGGAGGTTGTCTTCGCGGCTCCTTCGTCGCTGCCACTCTCGGACGCTTTGGTGTCGAGGCAAGACCGTCATTCTGCGAGTCGGTGGCTTTGCGTTTTGATGTCATGTTGGTGGTAGGCTTTGAAAATTTAGTCTTTCGATAGTAAGGTTGGTGGCGAATGTGAGTTGAGAAGAATCCATGTAGGTTGAAGTATTCAGGTGAGTGCTATGGTACTAAGGAAGTATATTTTTATGCGCATTGGGGGAAGAGTGAAGTATTAATTGGCCGTAGACAACTACGACTGCTCGAAGCGTGGAGAAGGTGAGTGATGAGTGCCTTGGTAATGGCGATTCTCAGACCCCTGCAAATACTGCTGCCCTTACCAAGTGAAAGGTTTGGACATGACATCGATAAAGACGCATGTGAAGGGTACCTGGGAATTACGTCAGAGCGGAACAAGTGAACCGAAAATTTCATCGCGTACCAATATCTTTGCTACTTTCACTCCTAAACATGCCACCAGTGCTACTGTCATTTGCAATATTGAAAAGCCACAGTTGACGAAGTTGAACATAATCGTGGGTAGCGGCAATAGGCACGTGAAATAGTTGGATTTATATAAAACAGACACTGATGAAATGAGCATGGCGGATGATAGTTGGATGTGATCATTTATTTGTATTGGTTCCTGATAACACGAAGCAAATAAGGCCCGTATGATACAAGCAACGAACGGGAATCCTTCCAATCATTGCGAATCGGTTTCCTACATGACAATCTCAACCAAGCTAATCTACATGGAAAGTATCTACGACTCCCAGAAGTCACCAGACAACCACCTGTTGAGCATCTCAAGCGACGCCTCAGGCTGGTCGTAAGGAACCATGTGGCCACCAGCGTGGAGCTTCATGAAGGTGAAGTTGCCACTGGACTTGACCTGGCCAACAGTCTTGCCGTCGCCGTCGATCTTGAAGTCCTCCATCTCGGCCTTCTTGAAGCCCTTGGCACCGGGCCACTCAAGCGCCTCAGTCCAAGCCTTGTTACCTAGCCAGTTGCAGATGTAGTCGGCGTCACCAGCGTAGATGAGGACGGGAATCTTCTCGAGGATGCCGGGAACGACGCGGTGGAAGGGCTTCATCCAGTCACCCTGGAGGAGGAAGTTGCGGTTGATGTCGAAGTTGCAAGACTCGTAGTTAGAGACCTCAGCGCCGACGGCCTTCATGACCTCCTTCTTGTTGAGGTAGCCCTGTATCCAGTCAAGCTCGTCGTAGCAGAGAGAGTTGCTGCCGCAAGGCTTGCGGACATCGTAGACGTTCTGACCGGTGCGTTGGTAAGGACCGATCATAGCGTTGTTACAGTAGATCGAGGCAGGCACGCAGGACCAGACGGACTCGGAGTTGTAGCAGTTCTCAATGAGGCTGGCGCAACGGGGGTAGGCGTTGTCCATGGACTGGCACTGAGACTCATCAAGGACAGCGGGCCAGCCACCCTCACCGCAGGCCATGGGGCGGTAGTACTCGTACTGAGTAAGACCATCAGTCAGACCGTTACCGATGAGGACGGACTGGAGGTTGATGTTGCGGTTCTTGTGGGACAGGATCTCGGAGGCGAAGACGGGGATGTAGTGGCCGGCATACGACTCTCCGGAGATGTGGAAGCTCTGGTGAGAGTACTCAGGGAACTGCTTGAAGAAGAGGGTGAGCAGGGCGTAGATGTCCTTGCCAGCAGCGACGGTGTTGCTAACTGAGCCGCTCGAGTATGAGTATCCGACGTTGACGGGCTGGTCGAGGAAGATGACGGAGGCGTTGGCGTTCCACGAGTAGGGGTTGTGCTTGACCTTCTGGTCCTTGGTGATGGAAGCAGGGCCGAGCTCCATGAACAGACCAGTCAGCGAGGAGCAGCCAGGTCCGCCATTGAGCCAGAGCACTACGGGGTCGTTCTTGGGGTCGTTGCGCGACTCGAAGAACCCTGGGATACGTTAGACACAGGTGTGTTTGTGGTGGTCATGCAGGTACTCACAGTAGAAGAGGTGCTTGTCCTCCTCGTCGTCATCAAGGTAACCAGAGTACTGCTTGACCTTGTCGACGCCGAGGACGCTGGGGTCGACCTTCTTGGCCCTCAAGCTGTACTGCTCGAGCTTGCCGTCGATCTCGCGCTCCTTCTCGCCGTTCTCGTTCTCGACCCAGACGCTCTGGATGTCGGCGCCCTTGACGATGTGGTCCCACTCGCTGTCGGCCTTGCGCGTGTGCGGCTTGGGCTCAGAGAAGAAGGCGGCCTTCTCAAAGCTCTCGGGGAACATCATGGCGACCTCGTCCCAGACGGCGCGAGCCTCGCCGGTGAGCGACTTGAGGCTCTCCTCGAGGTTTTGGAGAGGCTTGGTCCATGAGGACTCCTTGAGCTCGCTGAACGAGTCGGGGAACTTCAGGACCTGTTGCTGCTGGGTTCCAACAGCGGCCGAAGCAGCTCCAACGAGGAGCGCCGAGGCAGCGACCTTCATGATGGCGGTGCTGAGCTTCCGGAGCTCTAGCGGTAAATGAAGTAGATAAGAAGCGTGCCTCTACGTTTTAATGAAGAAGCAGGCGATGAGTGATGGGGGAGGAAGGAAGGATGGAGGAGAGATGGGATGGGTGGAGTTAAGTCGAGCTATGGATAGCTCGTGTGGAGGAGGCGCGGCTTGTCCAGGCAACGGAGCATGACGCATCCCGACAGCTTATCAGAGTGGCTGGAGTCCAAGCTCTCCGGGGCCAGCATCACATGCCCGGCTTAGCGTTTCACGATAGCGTTGATCGGCGCCTGTGGCAGGACACCAGACGGCCGGGGACTTGGATCATAGACATCATTACGCCTGTCGCCTCATTCCAGGCACCTTGAGATGGAAGCCGTGGCGAGATGCTGCTTCCGAGCTCTCTCTGCGGACCGGGAAGCTAGAGCCGGACCTGCATGCATGTGGTCTGTATTGGGTTTAGCGCGCGTGGGATCGTAGTGAGTGAACCTGCGCATGTCATCGGCGGCAGACCCCACCAAAATGGAATGCAACTTTTGCAACTTGCGCCAAATACCTGCACTTCAGTCAACACTATACCCATATCGACCCCCATAATCCGCCAAAATGCCTGTCGGAGTGTTCCAGCCGTCAAACCAGATCAGACTCACCAACGTCTCGCTGGTGCGCATGAAGAAGGGTGCGCAGCCCCCGCCCATGTCTATGCCTCTGTACACTAACGGCCCACAGGCAAGAAGCGCTTCGAAATCGCATGCTACAAGAACAAGGTCCTCGAATGGCGCAACAAGATCGAGAAGGATATCTCCAACGTCCTGCAGATCGAGAACGTCTTCCTCAACGTATCCAAAGGCCAAGTCGCACCCAAAGCCGATCTCGAAAAGGCCTTCCCCAAGAAGTCGCTCGAAGACATCATCACCGACATATTAGACCACGGCGAGCTACAAGTAGGCGAGAAGGAGCGCAACGCCGAGTTGGAGAGAACCAAGAATGAAGTCATCGATATCGTGGCGGGAAAACTCGTGGACCCCAAGACGAAGCGCGTCTACACCACAGGCATGATCGAGAAGGCGCTGGATCAACTGAGCTCGGCAGCGGCGACGCAACAGGGAGACAAGGACGAGAGCAAGGAAGATGGTGAGGACAAAGCCAAAGCGAAGGAACTGCCCAAGTGGACCGGCATCGTTACGAACAAGTCAGCCAAGTCGCAGGCGCTATTCGCCATGAAGGCCCTCATCGCCCACCAGCCGATACCTGTCGCCCGCATGCAGATGAAACTTCGCGTCACCTGTCCGACGTCCGTCCTCAAGCAATCCATAAAGACTGCGCCCAAGGCGCCAGCGGGCACTGAAGAGAAGGGAACTACCGGTACTGTTAAGGATGCGATATTGGCCTTCATGGAGAAGATCGAGAGTCAAGACACAATAGGCGCCGAGTGGGAGGCAGTGGGTCTCGTTGAGCCTGGAGCCTTCAAGGGTTTGAACGAGTTGATTGAGGGCCAAACAAAAGGAAGGGGCAATGTCGAGGTTCTCGAGATGGCTGTTGGTGCCGACGACTGAGTGGTGACACGTCTTGCCAGCACGCGTCGCGCAGCATGCTCGTCCTCACGTGCTGTTGTATAAGGACAGGAACGCCTGTGCAAAAGGCGCTTCCATACACCCGCGAGGGGTAAGCACTCTGTTCTATGGACTGCAAGGAACAGGGCGACTGCAGTCCGACTGCACGTCTTTCCAAGTCCACGAAATGCCGCTTCGGGCTACACCACCAGGGGAAATGCGCTATACGCTTCCATCCGCCGGAGCGTCAGAGTCAGAGACGAATGCAAATCATCATAGATCTCGCCGTAGGCACTGCACTATGATATGTAGTAGAGCAAGTTCATGGGTAGCGGCTTGTGGTTTCCAATGCATACGACTGTTATCCCTGTACCTATTCCATGCAAATCGTAAGCCTCACAAGACGCACCACGACTTCGCTTCTCATTCGCTGTGTCGTCATGTCTTCCCAAACTTCCCCTCTTCAAACTGCTATCTGCAACGGTCCCGATGTATCTTCGCTGAGCCACTCGTTGCGGGACAGCTGTTCGAGAGCTGCATGATCTTGCATCCTCCCGCATGCAAATTTGCGTGGGGCAGTCAAGCCCGGGTACCGGGCCTCATGAACCTGAACATGGCAATTACACATCTGTGCAGTATAGCGACCAGACGCTTGGTAGGACTTAGTTTTAGCACCTTTCGTAGCATCAAGAAGAACTAACTGCGAACATGCGAAAGATTTTCACTTCATGATTGTAGTTTTACATTCCATGTATGCTAATCGTAAGTTCGTAAATATGTCATCGTTAAGTTGTGCTTCGTGCTTCCTCGTTATCATCTGAACGACGCACCCGTTTTCGCATCGCGTTCGTGAGTAAGAGTCGTAAGTCGTAATCGTTACCATGCAAATGCCGTGCCTGAAACATGCGTCAAGAACGGAGCGCCGGTACCCAACAAGTAGGAAATAGCGAAAGGAAAGACGGAGAGTTAATGAAAGCGCTCGCATCCCCACCACACAATCCCCATGATCTCAAATAACGTCGCGTTCGCTCAGTGCGTGTCTTCATCCCTGCAGCAACGTTTTCAGTCGC